TCACAATTAAAAAATATTAACCTAATACTGACAGCTATAACAAAAATAAGCAATAAAATTCTTAAAGAATGGTATCGTAAATAATTAATTACCCAAAGGTGAGACTATAATATATATAAATTTACAACGAAACTTGGTCTATTTTTAGGAGAACTACCATCCTTTTACTTAGTGGTGAGATGAAATAAATTGTAATAATGATGTCCAAAAGTTAGAATACAGGTGAAATTAGTTAATGACAAAAATAATAGTGATATCATCAATACGATTTTACCCTTTTTTTTTCGTATGATTAACCAGGTAAGCCAAAACAATTTTATTAATTCGTGTGGCCAAAAATGAACGTTACACTCGTTCAATTTGAGAAGCAATCTTTCTAGTTGGTTTTGCAGACGTAAGAAGTTATAAACACAGGTTTTGTGTGATTTCGAATTCTCGTGTTCTTGAGTTTTTTTTTAAAATGTTCTTCCAATCCCAATACACACTTGATCTATATTGAAATTTCCAATTTTGAAAAGGTGGCATGGAATACAAAATAAGCGACCAGTATTTTCGGAATATGCAATCCATTTACCAGGTAACAACTTCATAATTCCACAACTTTATTTTAAATATCGACAATGGAGAATATCGTGACTGACCGGAGTAAACTTGTTTACTTTTAGCAAAATCGAATGAGTGAGCATTTTCTGTTTAAGGCAACAAGTAAAAAATATTTAGTTTACGAAATTTTTAACACAAAAATCATTCGGAGAAAGCTTATTTTCAAAGTTATATTTTTTTAATGGCAGAGGAAAAATATATATTTTTTTTATTAAACAATTCATAAACATTTGCGGCTCTCCCAGGCACTTGTTGCAATAATTGTATGTCAATTTGGCTTTAGATGCTTCCTGATTGTTTCTGAATTTTTGCATAGCACAACGAATACCTGCGATGGATTTTTTTTCATTTTTTCTGACTCTCACAAATATACGGTGATATTCCCTGGGCTTTTCGGGCAACTGCTCTTTTTCCCGATTTGCGATTTAAAGTAGCTCTGCTGCTGTGATATCTCGAAAAATCACGGATTTCGATTTTCTTTTTGGTGACTTGTTTGTACAGGACCAATGCATTTACCATCAATACTCCTAAAAGCAATTCTATTTCTAACTTCTTATACCATTTTACATTTTACACCCTTTAAACATTTTTAAGTTATAAGCAAAAAGGTGTTTTCGTTACAACAATTTCCCACTTACAGGCAACTTTTTCAGGCATGCTACTTAAATTAAACTATAAAATAAAAACAACTTGTTAAAATTTTTGGTAACCGCATGTAAGATCACGCAGCGTGAAACTGACAAATCTAGCAGAGTTATGGGAGGGCTGATATAAACAAGACGAAGAAATTCGTCTGGGCTCCAGGAAACTTGTTGCCATCTTCTGTTACTTCGTCTATAGCATCTACAAAGTTGATAGTATTCTACTACAAATCCACCATTTGTAACAGCTATACTACCAACATTACTGTTTTGCGGTTTATATGTAGACATATTTTGACGAACTCTACTTATGTCTTCACAACGTCTAAAGTGTTGACTTCTGTACGTTACTGACACGCGGTGAGCATTCTTTCCAGGGTATATGATTGGTGCAACTATTACAACATCATAACCAAGAGGTGCGTTGTTTTGAAACTCAACCAGAAGCGCTGGATCCACTTGGTTAGCTAGTGCGTAAGCATAGCTGCAATGTAGTTTAAATCCTCGTCCTGTAGGTGGGGGAGGTGGAGCTGGTTGTGCTGCTCCACCAGCGGGTGGCTGGGATAAGGTCTGATTATTAAGGTAAAATAAAAACTATTAATAGTAACACTGCCATATTTAATCGCAGTACGGAATCTAGAACAATAGTAAAACACTCAGAACCGAATAAAAAAATATTTTTGGAATATGATAGTTAATTAAAATATTTTTTACATGGAGATGTATTCGACAAGAATAGATAAACGTAATGAATATTGAGAATATAACTAAAAATGGCAGCCGGCTGCATATCGCAAACCATTAAACATAAAAATATAAGAAAAATCTGATATGTCGAACACATGACTTTCCTATCTAGTTATTACAAGCTTTTTCCGGTTATTTCGAAATTTGCACTTTTCCTCAAATATCTTGAATACGGTCCATTTTAGAGAAATCAAGTATTACACCAAAATTATACAGAATGAGTTCACAAGCAACTTCTATTTAAATAATTTTCTTAAAAATTCGAATTTTGCACTGTCACATTTCACGAATACGGACTATTTAAGAAAAATTATGTAAAAAACAAAATATAGAAAATGTTATTGCAAACAACTTTTGTTTAAATAATTTTCTTCTTTCTGGTGGCCGATATTAAAGATTACTGTGTCCTGGGTATGGACATTATGCAAAATAAGTTTATCATCGACCTTCAAAACAAGATCTTGGTAATTGGAAACGAGGAAATTGTCCCAAATTTGGAAGAAAAGACTCAACCGATAAAGGTCCTACACGGCTTGCATGTGGGCATTGTAGAAAGTCAAGGATCCGTGAGTGACGGAATTCTGGTAAACGTTGGTAAACTAATTCCAGTAAGGGTTGCCAATTTATCGAAGAGACCATTCAAACTGAAGAAGGGACAAGAAATAGGGCTGTGTACACCGGTGGCAAACATAATCAAGTGCGAAGACCGTTCCACGGGGAAAGCCACCACAAGTAACTCAGTTGACGCCAGTTTCGTAAAACAGCTAGTTAAAAATTATGACCACCTGACAGCTGAAGAACTTAGAAAAGTCGAAGAATTCATCAATACCAACTGTGACATTTTCGAAACAGGAAAATCTACGGGGCGTACCAGCCCGGTTCAGCATAGAATTTATACAGGCGATGCAAGGCGAAATCGAAAAGCACCTAGAAGACTTCCATTTGCTAAGCAGAAAAAAGTAGCAAATATGATAATAATAATAATATAATAATACTCTCCCTAATTCACCCCCTTACGAGTGAATTTTAACCCCAAAAGCTGAGCTTGTGCGGGGAAAGGGACGGCTATTATTATTTGCCGTGGCGCTCCGGGGCGACTTAAAGATGATTGATGGTGCCATTTGACTTACAGGTAAGGAAAACCCGGAAAACCTCACCCACCATACAGGACATGATGGAAGCGAATATTATTGAAGAAGCTTCTGGTCCCTGGTGCTCACCTGTGGTCCTAGTAACCAAGAAAGACGGATCTACTCGTTTTTGTGTAGACTATAGAAGATTAAATCAGATAACGCAAAAAAGACAGCTATCCACTTCCACGAATAGACGACACACTAAACACCCTATCAGGTGCAAAATGGTTTTCCACGCTAGACTTGAAAAGCGGATACTGGCAAGTAGAAGTATACCCTGATGATTGAGACAAAACAGCTTTTTCAACTGGCAGCGGACTATACCGATTCCAGGTTCTCCCGTTTGATCTCTGTAATGCCCCAGCTACTTTTGAACGTCTAATGGAAATGGCTTTGAAAGGATTAACTTGGAAAACTTGTCTAGTGTATCTCGATGACATAATGATCATGTCAAAAACTTTTCATGAACATCTAACAAATTTGACAGATTAAGAAATGCCAATCTAAAGCCTAATCACAATAAATGTTCACTATTCCAATCGGAAGCTTATTATTTGGGACACATCGTTTCTGCGGAAGAAATTCAAACTTATCTGGAGAAAATGATCGCTATCAAAGATTGGCCTAAACCAAAAGATAAATTAGAAGTTTTCTTGGACTGTGCTCACATTTCTGGAATATTCTATCTTCTTTTACTTGTACTTTTACTTATGACGACCGCAGCACACTGTAGAGCGATGAGTAATATTCCACTTCTTTTTCTATCTGTACGTTTTCTATGATAGCCGCAGGCTACTGCAGGGTGCTGCGTAACATTGTTATAGATCCTAATGCCCTCGTCACCAATTAACGTAAGGATTTGATTACATTTTGTCGACTCTTCCTTTTTAATTATTATTGTTGCCTTCAAATACGTGAGAAATATTTGCTTCAAAAATGTCCACCTTTCTGCCAGGTTATCAGATATTACCATGGGCGGTATTCCTCGAAAATCCATATTTATTACGAATTGCACTAATTATTAGTTTTACTATTTCTCGTTTTTTCACGTTTTTAACAGTCGACGGCTACGATTTACTTGGATTTGTTAATTTACTGATGCGCCGACTGTATATGAACCAACATGCGCAGAAACATACCGGTATTTGTGTATTGTAAATAAAAATAGGGAACATAATGCAGTAGCAATAAACCATAGAACCATGAAACCATTTTACATATAGCACATAAGCAAAAATAATCAGAATAGTCACTTGCCGATGCCGTCTTTGAAGTCGCTCAGACAAATTGTTTTGTCGCCAGGACACAGCAGGTAGTCAAGTGGCGCGAGTATCCGGTAAAAGTTCAGGCCCGTACATAAACTTTATTTCGGTAAAAGTTACAGGTCCGTATTTTAACTTTATATTTGGGATGCTACATCGTCCGGCATGATAAAATCCCATGTAATTTTTAATGGAATCAATGATTAGTAAACATCCGTTACGTTAATTTAAGAGCACGAGAATCAGCAACCAAAAGAATAACTAGTTATTTTTGATCGTTTACGAGTTATTGCCAATATATTTTTTAATATTTTTCCTTTCTGTATTTACAGGCACCATCTATTCAGAAATTAGTGCTTTATATTCAAAAAATTATTAAAAATATCTCTTAAACAAGCTAATCAAAAATAGATAAAAGATATTCTTTAGGTTCCAGATTTACTTGCTCTTTAGTTAACCTAAAAGACGTTTTCTACAATATAATTAGGGAAATTACATGGGAATTGCTATTCTAGCCCAAGTATGCAAAACTCTGTATATATTAGTGTACAGACATGTACTTTGCATATTTCACAGCAGTTTACTCACATCCAACAATCCCAAGTGACGGTCCACTATGAAACTCCAAATAACCAAACCGTTACCTTACCATAGGTCTTATCAGAAATTATTTCCATCCCCATATTATTTTTATTAACTTGTATGATAGGATTTTCTTCGTTTAAGTGCTGCATATTTTGTGATTCTTTCAAAGTTTCATGGTTTAATTCCTGCACAACTGCTGGCTGTATATTTAAGTGTAAGAAGTCAGTGCCCCTTGTAAACTTTCTGTACATTGTTGTACTGCTGAAAATAAAATAACTTTTAAAACAGTTTTTTTACTGGTGCTGCTGAATAAGAGTGTCCATCTATTGGTAACAGGTTACTTGTTTCTAGAATTGCACTATTTTGTATTGTTGGACATTCAACGTTGGAACTATCTAGTTCGTTTTCTGGTTCTTGGTAATTAACTTGTAATAAGCTACTACCACCTTCATTATTGTTTTTATAAGTTTTCACTTTTTGTTTTGCTAAAAATGGATAATTACATTACCGTCAATGGAGCTACAAAACTTAATTTTTCAGCAGTGAGAAATTCTTTGCAACCACAAGTAACGATTAAAGCCCATTACTTGTGGCTACTAATTATTTGAGTCTAAGTAACCTTTGACCCCTGGAATTTTTCATCTCCATCTGTGCTGCCCGAGTACTTTCGACGCTGTTTCGAGAGTTTGTGGAGTAAACCATCACCAAAAATCTGGCGCTCGAGAACCGTCCGTAACCAGCGTCATTCGTAAGGAACCGTTTTCTCTGAGGCGAGAAAACCCCTTACAAATTTGCTTTTTTAAATAAAATCTCGAGATCCGCTTCCCTCACGTGAGATCAGCCTATTGCTAGTTTAATCCTCTTACAGTGATGACTTGTCACCTTTCGGGATCATCACATGGAAACTGAAATTCTCGCTCGGCCTTTTTCATCCGATTAGTAAGCCGCAAAGCCGAGACTAACCGATGACAGTTCGTTTGCTAGCGCTTGTAGTAGACGCGTCGCTCAGATCCTTCAATGGTTACGGCTAGAACTTTTTCTGTCTTCCCCCCACCACAGCAGACCAAACAATATTCATTCCCGACTACGGGTATAAGCTCTTTCTTCTCTTTCTTCGCCTTCTTTCCACTATTCTTTTTATTTTTACTGTCTTTCTTCACCAACTGATATAGGTTATTAACTATCCTCTTTCCGCCAAGATCAATGATTGACATAAATATAACTATTTTTCCATCTAATTACCCATTATCAATAATTTCGGGTTCTGCTATTACGTAGTCATCCTCACCAACTTTCAATATACCAGATTTTCCCGTTTGATCATCCTCGCTACCATCACTCTCAGCTCTATCCGATCCTGATGTACTTATCCGTTTTGAGAGATCAATCTTGTCACCTTCAGTTCTCCTTTCCGCTTTCTTCTCTTCTAAATTCTTTGATTTCCTGGGCTCCCGCATTTCGTCGTGTACCGCCTGAGCAAGAACCTTCTCGCATTCATCTTCAGAGCTAGATGTATCGGAGTTCTGTCCTGCAAAAGTCATATTCTACAGGCGACGCGATACAGCGTTCATTTCTTCAACACTTTTCTTCTCCTTTCCTTTACTATCATTGGCACTTCTATCATGCTTTCCTGTTGTCATTTTGTTAATCTTCGTTCCTCCTTTAACTTTTTCGCTAAATCTCTTCTTTCTTTCTTCAAAGATTTTGTCAACTTCTTCCCTTTCCAATTCCTCCCCGGATAACGAGTCCTGATTTTCATACATAGTAAAAGGCTCTACTACTCCCGGAACTACGAATTGTCTTAACACTATTCCATCAAACATTCTTGGTGATGATTTTCTTATCACTCGTGAGTTCGTGACGTGAACTTGCAAATATCTCTTCGCCCTTTTTATGGATCCGCATTCGAACCTATCCTGACAAATCCCGATGTACAGGTCCATTTCGTTAATTGAAATCAGATTTGGCTGTTTCCAAACAATTAACCTAGCCATTGGTTTTACATCTTCTGTCCTCTGAATTAACTTCAGTTTAGTTAGCGCACCACTCTTAAATACACAGTCCCAGACCCCTTTCAAGGGAGCATCGAAGTGAACATCAAGAATCACACTCTGAACGTCTGTCATGGTCGTTGTCTCGTAGATTTTTTTAAGTCCGTCCGGCCGCTTAGCAAGATGGAGCATATTTTTGCAACAATATGACATTTTGCCAAAGGCATTTTTCGCCATCATTGTTGACATTAAAATTTTTTCCTGTTTGATTACATACGTTTTTCCAGTCTATAAAATCCCCAGTCTCCATTTCATTCACAATATACAGAGGAGCATTTTTTTTTGGCACATCGTATTATCATGGCTAACTCTGATGGGACAAAAATAGGCCCTTGTTTAAGAATTCGTTTCTTTTCCTTCTCAATGCAGGCATGAACACTGTCTCATTCATTTTCAGTATGCCCAACGATGAGGTATTTATGTGTAATTGTTTGAATGTTAAATGTTTTCAAAGCATATAAGTACATGCAAAACATAAATTTATTTTTATTTTGTGCGTTACAATTGTCGCTGTAAAATATTACCTCCTTTTTACCCTGACAGTAATCTTTCAAAAAGATACAAACACTGGTTGCAATTTCAATGGCGCCTCTTTTGGCAATACTCTCGTTCCATAAATAACAAATACCCTCCTTACTTTTAACATTATAAACAGTGAAATTGTAGGCGTTCAATTTACTTTTATAAAAAAAGGTCGAAATATTTCCATTTGGAAGTGGCATCACTGCTTGTAAATCAAAGGTAGCTAGTACTACGTCTTTTTCAAGCATAAACTGGTTTTTGTCTCCTTCTTTTTCCAAGCGTGAGATGCGTACATTTTCTTTATGTGTATCGTATTCATTATTTTTCAACTCCTTTTCAGTCTCAGAACTATGTTTTTCATAAATGACACAAAATGAACACTGATCTTTTTTTGGCTGGAAGAATGAAATATTAAATTTATTGTTAAATATCTTTCTATACAGTGATTCTTGAACGAATGGTTTTTGGTCTTGATCACATTTTTCTTTATATAATTTGTACATTAAAGAGACATTCAATGAACCATCTACATATTCTTTTTCAGTTCTAGCCCGGCAATAGTGACTCTTCACTCGAGGAAAACTGTTAATGTGATCTTCAACATCTCTAGTTAGATTATCAGAGGTCTTATTGCTACTTTGTCCCGTCCCTCGTAATTCTTTTTCTAAAAACCCGTCGGGTGCCTTTTTTACTGCAGTACTTATAGTATTGTTAGAAATATCCAATGTTGCCATAAAAAAAATTTTACAGGCTCGAATATCTGTTTCATCAATTTCAAAATAATACCCGTGGTTTTTTTTCCTACGCTTTGGCTCATTTTCCTGTAGATTCTGTGTTGTCGCTTTTGGGGTAATTGTTTTCATACACTTTAATATGAAATCCCGTTGTCTGGTTTTATCAGCCAAGCTGTAAAACTGCTGAAATATCAACAGTCTTTTTTCTTTTGAAATATTTACAGTACATTTGTATAAACAATGCTCGTCACACGGGGGCTTTACCGTTTTTGCTCGGTGTAACTTACCAAGTCGTGACGTATACTCTTGGCCTGAATTTATTTTCTTCTTCTTTAAATTTCTCTTCCATGTATTTTCGTCCCTAATCCGTTTTCTGGTTTTTTTTGTGTTTATTTGTTCTCCATTATTATCGCCATTGGTATCGCTGCTGCTGTTATCAGGGTACTCGTCATCTTCTCTGTGAGGGTTAAAATCAGGGTCTTCGTCATCTTTGTTAAAATCAGGGTCTTCATCATTGGAAGGTTCTATTTCTTTTAATAATTCTTTCCCATTTTCATCCTGTAATTCTTGTAATAATTCTTTCTCATTTTCATCCTGTAATTCCTGTAATAATGCTATCCCCTTCTCATCCTGTAATTCTTGTAAATGTATGGCATGACCTTCACTTAGCAGAAAAACGTCCTTAGGATCACTTGGTGTATATTTTACAGCTAAAATTGAACCAAAAGTTAATAGTCTATCACAACTTTCTTATGGTAAAAAACATATTTGTGGCAAATAATGCATATCATAACCATTAATAAGTATTGGTTTAAAGAAAGTATATAAACGGAATAAAAAAAATTAACCCACCTGAAAAACAATCAGAAATTATTTCCATCCCCATATTATTTTTATTAACTTGTATGATAGGATTTTCTTCGTTCATATTTTGTGATTCTTTCAAAGTTTCATGGTTTAATTCCTGCACAACTGCTGGCTGTATATTTAAGTGTAAGAAGTCAGTGTCCCCTTGTAAACTTTCTGTACATTGTTGTACTGCTGAAAATAAAATAACTTTTAAAACAGTTTTTTTACTGGAATTTTTCATCTCCATCTGTGCTGCCCGAGTACTTTCGACGCTGTTTCGAGAGTTTGTGGAGTAAACCATCACCAAAAATCTGGCGCTCGAGAACCGTCCGTAACCAGCGTCATTCGTAAGGAACCGTTTTCTCTGAGGCGAGAAAACCCCTTACAAATTTGCTTTTTTAAATAAAATCTCGAGATCCGCTTCCCTCACGTGAGATCAGCCTATTGCTAGTTTAATCCTCTTACAGTGATGACTTGTCACCTTTCGGGATCATCACATGGAAACTGAAATTCTCGCTCGGCCTTTTTCATCCGATTAGTAAGCCGCAAAGCCGAGACTAACCGATGACAGTTCGTTTGCTAGTGCTTGTAGTAGACGCGTCGCTCAGATCCTTCAATGGTTACGGCTAGAACTTTTTCTGTCTTCCCCCCACCACAGCAGACCAAACAATATTCATTCCCGACTACGGGCATAAGCTCTTTCTTCGCCTTCTTTCCACTATTCTTTTTATTTTTACTGTCTTTCTTCACCAACTGATATAGGTTATTAACTATCCTCTTTCCGCCAAGATCAATGATTGACATAAATATAACTATTTTTCCATCTAATTACCCATTATCAATAATTTCGGGTTCTGCTATTACGTAGTCATCCTCACCAACTTTCAATATACCAGATTTTCCCGTTTGATCATCCTCGCTACCATCACTCTCAGCTCTATCCGATCCTGATGTACTTATCCGTTTTGAGAGATCAATCTTGTCACCTTCAGTTCTCCTTTCCGCTTTCTTCTCTTCTAAATTCTTTGATTTCCTGGGCTCCCGCATTTCGTCGTGTACCGCCTGAGCAAGAACCTTCTCGCATTCATCTTCAGAGCTAGATGTATCGGAGTTCTGTCCTGCAAAAGTCATATTCTACAGGCGACGCGATACAGCGTTCATTTCTTCAACACTTTTCTTCTCCTTTCCTTTACTATCATTGGCACTTCTATCATGCTTTCCTGTTGTCATTTTGTTAACACGTTAACCGCCGAATGGCATTTTTAGGAATTCTAAAGTTGACATCCTGTACAGCCGGCGGCCAACTGGCGATATCATTTTTGTGCCAACTGAACGGCCGGCGTACAAGAGAAGAGCTGTGTTTTTATTTAAATTGCAAGCCGGCGGTTCAGGTTACGTACAATTCCCCGTATATAGGTATTGTCCGGCGTACAAGGAAACATGTGCACCATTGGTTTGGCAATCGGAGCGTGCAAAAGTAAAAAACATGGATAAAAAAGACGAAAGTTTTATTTTTATTCATTATTTGCTATAAATAAAATTCATTATAAAAATAAACTCAAAAATGATCGGGAAAACACTGAATACAAATAAAAGGTTTTTCAGGACAGGTATCGCAATAAGTAGTTACTCTTTTCGCTGAATTTGCTGCTAGTTTCCAGCTTTGCTCCGCCGATATTTTCTTGTAACAGTATATACATCTTTTTCTAATTTTTCTATTCCTTTTGCACTTCTCTTCAGTCTCTTTCATTTCGTGCTGAATCTTTTTTTGCTTCTTATCCTTTTGTGGAACTTCGTCTTCACCTGTAATTTCCAAAAGCGACTCCACTAAAGTTTCTCGAAATTTTGTAACAGACATTTTTGATGTTGGATGCACCATTTTGTATACAACTAAGGCATTAACTACAGATGTCCCCATCAATAATTCAATGGCAACTTTGTGATACCATCTTACTGATTTTCGGACAGGAGAAGAATATGCGGCTAATTGGTCAGACAAATCAATTCCCGCCTTTCCTGCATTATAATCGATAATGCATAGCGGTTTTTGAATCGTTTCACGCTTTCTGTTTAACTTTCCTGTATTTACCACGTCCAAATTGTGATATGTAGAGAGCATTAAAACATCTCTTTTATCTTTCCACTTAGAGACAACGATTCCATCTTCATTTTCTCTACCTATTATTTCCCCTTTTTTTAGTTTTGCTGACACAACTTCTTTTGGTAGATATTTTCTATTTTTTCTTAAGGTTCCAACCGAGTGAGTCTTTCGACTTAAAAGTTACTTTGCAAGAGGAATACTGGTATAAAAGTTGTCATTTACTGCAACTCTTCCTTCATCTAAAAAATCTTTACACAGATCCATCACTGTACTCGTTGGGAGAGATACTTCCTGATCCGCGCCTTTGCCTTGATAAACAGAAAATGAATACGTATATCCTTTCTGATCGCACATCTTAAAGAGCTTAATGCCATATTTATGCCGTTTCCCAGGAATATATTGTCTAAATTTTAGTCGACCACGAAAAGGAACCATGCTTTTATCTATTGCTATTACTTTTCCCGGTCGCATTACCTGTTTGTATCTCAAATTAAAGTGAGTAACCAATGGCTCGATTTTATAAAGACGACTATTTTCTGCAGTAAGGTCTTGATTATTCGAAAAATGCCAAAAACGTAGAAGAGATTGAAATCTGTTTCTTGGCATAATTTTTGGAATGAGGTTATTCTTATATATGGGATGTGTGCTCCAGTAAGCCTCAATATTTGGGTAACGTACTAAACCCATATAAAGCACAATACCAAGAAACTTCCTCATTTCCGATAGTGTTACTGGTTTCCAAAGTGAAAGTCGACTTTTGGACTTTGGTTTACCTAACTTTGCTATTACTTGTTGAGCATTTCGATTTGTCTCTATAACCATTGTTTCTAACAAATCTTCAGTCACGAACAGGGAATAAGCATTGAACACTGTAAAAGTACTTGTATCCAAGTTTGGGTTTAGGCCCTCTTTTCCTACAAATGCAAATGTTTGCTGTTTATTTCCAGTTACTTCTCCCCATTCAGAAATTAATGTTGAATTGTTACCAGGATTATTATCAGAAGCATCATCTAGGTAACCGTCTTCTTCGGAAGGACTGTCTTCTGAAGAGCTGGAAGTACGGTCCTGAAAGTCCGGATCTCTGATACTATCATCACTATCAAAATCGACTTCGCTACTGTCTGACTCTTCAAAAATTTTTTCCGCTTCTTCCAATAATTCTTTTTCACTGAACGGCCTCTTTTTCGAATTCATATTTATTGAAATGACTAAAACAAAAAACGCTATAATAATAAGTGATAAAATTGTTAGAAATCGCTTACTTACCCGACAAATATGATACTACAGTAGAAAAGTCCAATAAACACTAACAATATTTCTTTGTTCAATGAAAAATCTACATCAAAATAAACTAAACAAACTTATCAATTGTAAAACTGCTAAACCGCATGAAAACTCGATCCAAAACAAACGCACAAACGGTCGCTGATGATCTCATTACCGTAGTATCGCTTTCGCACTTGTAAAACGCTGGCGTTTTAAGCATCCTGGAGGGGATAATACATGTCCGCCGGCTGTACAAATGGCAAATTTTAAATGTCAGCTTTACATGTACGCCACCTGTACCGCCGGCTACCAATACAAAATAATTCCTAAATTGTTCTCACATTCAAAAATATGTTATGTACGTCTTAGTTTCATGAAGATAGGATGGTGTATACTAAAAAAAAATACAAATACATTTTCGTAATACGCCGTATATTTCGTTCGGCGCTTCAAGTCAAATGTCAGTTGGCAGCTGGCTGTACAGGTGGCGGTTAACGTGTTAATCTTCGTTCCTCCTTTAACTTTTTCGCTAAATCTCTTCTTTCTTTCTTCAAAGATTTTGTCAACTTCTTCCCTTTCCAATTCCTCCCCGGATAACGAGTCCTGATTTTCATACATAGTAAAAGGCTCTACTACTCCCGGAACTACGAATTGTCTTAACACTATTCCATCAAACATTCTTGGTGATGATTTTCTTATCACTCGTGAGTTCGTGACGTGAACTTGCAAATATCTCTTCGCCCTTTTTATGGATCCGCATTCGAACCTATCCTGACTAATCCCGATGTACAGGTCCATTTCGTTAATTGAAATCAGATTTGGCTGTTTCCAAACATTTAACCTAGCCATTGGTTTTACATCTTCCGTCATCTGAATTAACTTCAGTTTAATTAGCGCACCACTCTTAAATACACAGTCCCAGACCCCTTTCAAGGGAGCATCGAAGCGAACATCAAGAATCACACTCTGAACGTCTGTCATGGTCGTTGTCTCGTAGATTTTTTTAAGTCCGTCCGGCCGCTTAGCAAGATGGAGCATATTTTTGCAACAATATGACTTTAAGATTAAATACCGAAAAGGAGCTTTGAACCGTATTGCCGATGCCTTGTCCCGAAATCCGTTACCTAGTACTGACAGTACATCAAGCACACCAGATGTGTGTACCGTAGACGACGATACCAATTGAGGGGCCCAGAAGTAAAAGGGTTTAAGTGCAGTTTTGGTAGTTCCGAGATAAATGGCTTTAAAGTTAACTTAAATTTCAAAATTCCAGGAATAAGTTTAGGAAACTATGTAAATATTTTAGTTTTATTTAAAGACAAACAAACATTACAAAGAACAAAGATTTTTTTTAACTTTCAATTTTTTTGTTTTTTTTTGCAAAAATGCACTTGAATCATTACACATGGTAAAAACTTTTTGGTGGTGAAATGATTCAAGTGCAATTACTGCATTAAACTTAAACTTATTTCTAAAAACAAAACACAAAATTTATTATTCTAATCAGAAAGTTGTTATCCTCATCGCTTTCTTCCTCTTTTTGGCTTTGTTTCTTTTTTCCTTTTTTTTCTGATGCCTCTTCTCCATCGTGCTTTATTCCTTCGTAAAAGGTGTGGTGTCTTGGCGGAATGTAATCCATTAAGGTTAACAAATTTTTGTACTTTGCAGATTTAATTTTGTTTTGTTTAAAGGCATCTTACAACTGAAGAAATCTACATCAATGTTTAATGTTCTTTTGTATTTAAACGATAGTCGTTCAGTTTTGTAATAAGCGAACCAACAAATTTCCCTCCATTTTAAGGGGTGACCGTCACTATCTTTTTTAGGATCTTTCATTATTTCATTAAAGGGCGAAAAAGAAAAAAAATCGTCTTTGTTCATTTCATATACAACAAATTTGGCAGATGTGCCTCTTATTAGAGTCTCCCAATCTGTTGGGATAAAAACTTGAGGAATTTGCCTTTTTTTCTTCTCAATTAAGCCAAAACTACGGTCATACTCCATATAGGTGTGACCGGGTTCAAGGAACTTGTGGTGAATCTCAGTTATATTTGTGGCTTGAACAATAAAAGAAAATAGTTTAGAAATGTTCTTATTCTGTCCCCCACACGAATCACTGTATGCAACAATCTTTGTTACTGTTGATGGAAGACTTCGAATAAATTTTATTAGACATGAGCCTATCTCCTGCGAACCCCTGGATGCAACAGTTTCGTTCCATATAAACATATGACTTTTTCCAGTCAGTAAGTCAAAGACACAGAAATTATATGTCCATAGTTGACGGAGGTAGAAGACTTTAGAAGTTGTTAACAGCGGCGTTGGCAATGCCTGTTGCAAATCAAAACAAATTACAGCAGTATTTTTGGAGTTTTTGTTTTCAGCAATATCAGCTTTCTTGGCGTCTGTTGCTTTCTTGGCTTTCCTTTGGTGTAGCTCGAGGTCTCGCTTGGCATTTGTAATCTCGTCTTCATTTGTGGAGTGTTTTACTAGATTTTGTAAATTGTCACAACGACTGCAAGTGTCACTATAAGGCTTGTGAAACCTTAAATTAAATTCCGTATTGAAAATAAACCTATAATAGGACTCTTTTACTGGTAACTCTTGTTTTTCGATACAAAACTTCTCATATAATTTGTACATCTTACTGATACTCAATTCGCCTGAGATATACTTTGCGTTTAGATTGTTTTTTCTAGAATAGTGGCTACTATATTTCGGGAACATATTTATGTGGGAAATGACGAAATTTTTGGATGATTCCTTTATTTTATATGGAGGTTCCTGAGTAGGTTATATTAGTATGCGGAGGAGTGGAGCAGTGGGGTAGGCCAGATGTTTCCGGCCACGTGCTTGCTAGATG